TTTTTTTTTAATAAAAAAAATACAAATTGATTTTTTTATTAATTGTAGTAATTAACAAATTAACAAGGTAAAATTAGCGTACAAGTTAATTTAAATCTAATTTTAGTTTAAGCAATAGAAAATAGTAAAATCTTGTTCCGCTAATTGTTTTGAGCAGTATATTATACTGGGTGTCAGCTATAAAGGCTTATTAAAAATAATATGCAAGTAGGGATCGCCTTCACACGACATTCAATATAGTCAGAGACATCGAAAAATTATATAATGAACAAGTACATAACACATTCATTCGTAATAAAAATAAATTGATATATTACATAAAAAGGCGATTTGTCGTGTCCGAATGTTCACGCAATACGAATGTATCGTTTAACAAATATAAATGGCGACCGTTAGCTTGGTTTATTCGCTAAGTGATGTTGTGAATATACTCTAGTTAATGAACTTTTGTGCCAATGTTGTACACATAAGTTATGAGAGGGTTTATAGACACAGATTTAGTATGTTTATACAAAATGTAGGTTAAACCACCGAATAGATAAATGAGGGAGGAAGGGTAGACACCGCACGAGTGCCGCATGTATTAAGCGAATCAATAGAGTTTCGTTAAAAAATCGGCAACTAAACACTTTTTTATTTCAATAATTAAAACATAAATAAATATATTTTCGTTTTTTTAGAAAATTTTTTTTCTTTAATTAATTCACAGTCTTTATTGCTAAATAGTGGTAAGTGAAATAATAGATCACAAGAACAGATTGTCCCTTAAGATAGACTGTAGGTAGTGTTATTGGACACTTTCTCATGTTAAATATCCTTATTGTAACCTTTTATTGATAATTAAATCAGTGGCGCTACAACCTTTCTAGGTCTGGGCCTCAGATGTCTATATTTGTTTCATGATCATTTCAATCTAAAAGGCAAGTAGGTGATCAGCCTCCTTTGCCTGACACACGCCGTCGACTTTATGGGTCTAAGGTAAGCCGGTTTCCTCACGATGAAAACTCCTTCATCGTTCGAGCGAATGTTAAATGCGCATACAGACACAGAAAGTCAATTGGTGCAGCCGGACATCGCATCTACGACTTCAGGAATGAGTCACACGCGTAAGCCACTAGGCCAACACTGCTCTGTATTGATTCAAAGTTAATCCAAATTACGTAAACATTATAGTAGATAGTAGATATACCTAGTAGCAGTAGGATTGTACTGATATTTGGAGCCATAATTTTGAATAGTTTCTTCTTCTCATAGTGCCGACTATCGACGATCATCATGACTACTTCAATGTTGGATGCCGCACTTCTAAAGAAAACTTGGTGCTTTGACCAAACCATTGGCTTAAGTTTTTCAAGAAAGACGTGCGTGCGTCTGCGGCCAGGTCTCCTTTTACCTGCCACTTTGCCTTGTTTGATTAGTTGAAGGAGCTCATATTTTTTAGTGTACCGTAAAACTGAATAGTTTATAAAATCGAACGTGTGAATTGTGTACTGACTTAACTAGACTCTTATAAATACTTACTTCAGTTGTAATAAACTCTTTTGTGTACTTCACGCAAAGTATATTTTAATAAATATTTATTAGTTTTTCCTGTGCTTTTAATTCGCCACTAAATTCAAGATTTTAATTCAGCTTAGAATATTGAATTTTCTTCAAATGCTAAGTTATTTATGTATCGCAGAGATGAGGTAGTCGTTACGTGTGAAGTGTTGGAGCGTCGCCAGGAGGCAGCACTAGTCTCGGATGTATACGTTTTATTGGAGTTGCGAGTTTTCAATTTGGACAAATTAGGATTATTTGGTTAGTTTCGAGGAGATTTATTTTATAGGCTTTCTTTAGAAATTGCTTTCTTAGATAGACTTACCATTACGTGTGGAAAATCGTTGACTTTTGTAAAATGTGTTTTCTTAGATGGAGCTTTTAGGCGGTTATTTTTACAAAAAGTAATTATGTTTTTAAATATAATATTGGTTACAAAATTAATATAGTTTAAAATTAATGAAACGGAACTTAGATTGATTTTAAAACAGACAACTTTAAATCTTACCCAGAGATTTAAGATAAGAAAGATAATAATGAATAGTCGGTTCGAAAGCTGGCGGGTTCACATACTCCACTAATGCAATTTCACATACAGTATGTTTCAAAATTTGAATTTTACCACAGGACGGACAGTTTATTCATGATTTTATGATTGTATTTAGTTTGACATTCGTCTCGCGCTTATAAGAACTACAAGACAAAGTTAATGTGTTGACGCCAGCTTAGTTAACATAAATTTGTGATACATACTTCAGTTATAATTTATTTTCTTGACCAAGTTCTAAATGTCTATCATCGGCAGCACTGTCCCCGAGATAAAAAGGCGAATCGGGTTGGCTAAAGATGCCATGACACATTTAAGCAACATCTGAAGGAAATAGGAATTGGTATCAAAACCAAAATCTGATGGATATGTGCTCCAGTATATTTCCCTATTTTCCTGTATGGAGCTATTATATATAACTATCCTGGCTCGAGAAAGGCAAATTATTGATGACTTTGCGATCTGGTGCTCGAGGCTCTTTACCCTGCTCCGCATATGGACTCACCTGTCTACCATATGCCGACAACGGATTATCTCATATTTTCGCCATACAATGACTGTTCATTCACCTATAGAGGTGATGAAGACTTAGAGATATTGATCGTGGTTGGTAACAGAGAAGGCAAAGATCACGTGGCCGTTCACCAACCAGATGGACCTTGCAAGTGAACAAGTCATCGTTTTCAAAACTGTGCACTGTAATTAGAGGGGCGCAGGACGGAAACCGGTGGAAACAGATAGTCCACTCCAGATGATTCCTTGCCCACCACGTGCTCAGACATGAGCCGACTGAAGACAGAGAAATATAAAAAGCCAATACTGCAATAAATAGAGCTTTTCATAAAGTATGAAACATGAGTTGAAGCTTTCTCTCGTTCACTTTGCATTTTTATTAGCTTCTGCACATTGGCTATCGATTTAACGTTTTATATTTATAGTTAGGTTTACTATTAATATGTCAAATATTGTAATAAAAACATTGTCTCACCAAATATGATACGATTCAATATTTATATATTAAATTATTAAATGATTTATGTCGGTCGATATGTCGAGTAACAATCGTAGTCAGCGAGAAATTTTAGACAGATTAAAGAAGTTTATTTATAGACCTCTGTCATATTCATGCATTCATCCATCATTGTCTTTAGTAATATATAATGCACCAGAGACAATATGATGTCAAAAACTATATTTTTCAATCGGTAAATTTTTAAATTCAACATTTGGGTTGAAATAAAACAAAATCTTGAGTAACTAATTTATTTACATATTCACATATAGTATATTATTTAATAACATTTAAATACATATCTTATCTAGTACACTGGCGACAGGGTTTACGTAAATTGACATTTCAACAATATTGTCCATATTAATATTTTCTTATAAATGCATTCCTGGCTGAGGGGATGTCAGCTTCAATCATTTGCTTTATAACGGGCATTCTAATTTTAAAAAGAATAATTAGATATGAAAATACTTGGCAACACTGTTAAATTGCTACTGACAAATCTAAATTGTTGCTATTCACAATCGCCTTTGGTTGAACTTACTCGAAGTGATAGAACGTAATAATGAAAATGCATATAACGACATCGACAGACTATATTTATGCTACATCTATGAAACAAAAGTTAAATGAGTATGTATTTTAATGCGGTACTCTGAGTTACGGTTTATTGTGTAGCTCCAGTGGATCCAGTTGGAAGCTAAAAAAGATTACTACCTATGCTTTTTTAAATCAGTTCTTAACTAATCGAGCATAAATTTCATAGATGACTTATTTATCCATGTATTAAATATATTTAATGAACGACTCTGAGTATGAAATATAGAAGATCACGTACAACTTTGGCGAAACATACACGTATTATTTTCCGAAAATGAAATTAATTTAAAATGAGGTTATGTTTATTTTATTTCTACTTAGCAGAACCTGAGATTCCCGTACAAAACATGAACTATTTGACCGTATACACTTACAAACCGCAAAAACACTGAAGATACCAAATGTTATTTACAAGAAAGCTTTATTGTAAAACAGGTGGCAAGGCGTTAAAGGGAGTACAAATTAATTTGAAAACGTTTTTATTGTAAATTAATAATGTACGTTACGAACATTAGCTCTGTTATTTTAACTGCGTAAATGAAAAATCTTTATTCGGAGGCGCGGTAATAATCGTTTAATTTGTTATACTCGTTAAACAAGTTTTGAATCAAATATTATTTTGATAAGCATTTAAGATCTGCCTTCTGATTTTTATTAAGGACCATATACCTACTCAAGCTATAATATACTTTTTTCACTTTATAGGGGTAGTTTCAACGATAACACAATTTATGCTTTTTGAGATCTTTTCTCTTACTTTCATGTCCTCCCTTTAACGACTAAACTTGAAAACCACCCGTTTTTTACAAGTATTAATTTTATTGTGACTGTATGAATTTTTAATGTGTTGCGTAATATCAAAATGACGTAATTGGCTTCTAATCCTATTAAAACAAAGGAATTTAAAAAATATTAACGATCTAAGTTAGTTGCTACTATTAATTGTGATTTATATTTTCTATTATTATCACATTTTGTTTGCGAATTTATTTTCGAGTATGAAAACGAGAATCTATTTTAAACTGGACTTTTCTCATAGCCAATTAAATTATGGCCATAATAAACTTAACAATAATAGTTTGGCACAAATTGTACAGCGTCTAATACCGACAAACATTTTTAACAAATTGATTTTCAAATTATTCATAACAATTATTCAACTTAATTTATTTTCATCGGTACAAAAATTAAAATGTTAATTTTCGAATGACGCTGTACTTGGGAATGATTATAAAGGTTTGCTTCACGGTCGTACAACTATCACAACATGAAATCGACTGAGTTTCTTCATAGATGCAGTAATCATAACGCTTGCACCAATAGCATGGTCCAAAGAGATGTTACTAGGCTGCTCGTAATTTTGGCACCTGTAAAAAATATCAATAACAAAATTATGTCTTCATTATATTTAAATTAATAATCATTAAATAGTCTAAAACGTTATTAGAGACTGGCACGATGTGTTGCTCGAGCCAGTCAGTGGCGGAGAGTTTATTGCCAGTTCTTCTCTTCCGTTTTACGCCCTTGATTTGAGAACTGGCATATGTAAAGCTAGAAGCATTTCATATACAATTTTTTTTGACGAGCATAAGTGTACTTTATGTTACCTATATGATAAAATGTTTTTTTAATTTGAATTGAGCACAGATCGCAGCTAGAAAAAATCTGCCATAGAATTGTCAAATATGTAAGAAGAATAGCACAACAGGTGAAACTGGTCCCGTCGGCCAGCGGGCTACGACGGCCATAAATATCATGAGGATATTTCCAGTGTAGTTGTCGACCGTGCCCGGCGGGAGATGCCAAGCCCATCAGACTTAGTTTAAGCAAATAAAGTCCCTTTTTAGGACAGGGGGATTGGAAACTCCCCTGCTGCCCAGCTTCTCGGCCACAGATCTGGCTGATCGCGTACCTGTGCAGGCTATTACGGGCCCTACATAAAAAAAAGGTATTACTAAGGTAAGATTGCTTGTTATAAAGCCTTTTCTGAGTGTGTCCACAAACATCACGGTAAACTGATCTTGATATAACTTTATACAACCGATAGCTGCTTTTAATCGATTTGCTTTTCTTTTCATATTGTTATTTTATCTATTTTAATTTATTATCATGCCACGAGGACCAATTTTTAATTGTAGAGAGTTTATTTTATATATGGTTATCATCTAGTTTTAATTGTATCATTGTTAGGTTTAAGATTTATTTTTCTCGATAAATTCAAAATTGTTTGAGAAAGCTGGGTATCTACGACCATATCTTGAATACCATAGCTTTAAAAGCCTACCTGAGGAGTCCTCTCCCGTGACTGAAGCGGGATGTGGAGTATCTTCTTTAATATAGACGGGCTCGCTCTGTCGCGCATAGATGTCAAAAATAGTTGCCACACATCCCAAGGTGAACTGACTGCTATCCGGAGGTACCAATGTGTATCTGTTGCATACAATTTTTCAAATTAAAGTAAGCTTTGGTTTATTCAATACTAAGCAAAATCACTAACATACTGTAGCTAAAGAAAAATTAATAATGTTTGCTCCATTTTGTCTTTGTATTAGCGAAAATATTGTTTATATTGTATATATACTTTTAAGTATCTCTCTAAATTCAGTTTCTCTTAATAATTATTCTTTCAATTAATTTATCCTGGAAAAGTAAAGATCCCGATGAATTGAGAACTTCTTGTTCTTTCTTTGAAGTCAGTAAAATTATTATTGTTAAAGACATTTTCGTATTCAATTTTATATTTGTAACTTGAAAAAGTAACAAATTCCGATAAATGAAGAACCTTTGGGCTCACTGTTATTGTCATTATATTATTTTAAAATCACTATGAAAGTCCTGACCTGACAACATTTAGATCCTCATTCTGCTGTCCATATACGGCATGGTCCTGATACACCCGATGCAGGCCCGCACTGGTGTACGTCAATCCCACCTGGTACTGCTGGTTTTCCAATAGCGTCAGCTCCAGATGGCTGAAGGCTCCCCGTTCCTTGAAGTCATTTTCTGATGATCGCCATGATATGGTCTCTGCTATCTGAAATTTTTACAATAAACCTTCTTATGATGAAAATCCTAGAGTTGGTTATCATATTTTAATAAGACGAAGGCAATTAGAACAACTCCATATTCATGTGCATGAATTGGTATGTGACGGAATGAGAGGATAACACAGTGAAGAATACAGCAAGAGATGACTAGCTATCAGCGAGAAGAACAGATAGGTTAAAGGCAGAAACTGACAATGAATGACAGGAGGGCAGGGATAGGAACCGATTATTGACAAAACACACGAAGACCAGTCTTGAGTGATAACAAAAACAAACTGCAGCTTAATTTTTTATATATATTTGTAAGAATGATTTAATATAACAATCAAATATTCAGTATTTACAATTTTCTTAACCTACATAGTAATGATACAAATTAAAAATTAATAAAAAGAAAATTAAAACAAATTTAAAAAGTGTGATCCCTGTAGCAGTGTACTTTTAACGCTGGCAGGATTTCCTCTGAAAGCACCAGCTCTAGGGCACCGGTACTATGTATCAGGTGCCAACTTAAATATTTAATTAGATTGTTGGCCTCATTTTAATTCGGTTTTACAGGTGACTTTGTAAAGACTTTGGTTCGTACTGAAGACAGCATTTATTTTGTGAATTCTCGCTGTTTGCCTGAAGGGTCTTGACAGCTTCAGCTCGAACTGTTTTAGTTCAGCCGAATAAATGTTTTTAAGGACCGCACCACCCCGAATTTGTGATAAACAATTTTTTTTCATGTACCTGAATCCAACCAGTTTATATAGTTGAAAGGTAGTCTATATTACTTAATATTGTCTTTAAGTATCTAAGATTTACTATTACTTACTAATTTTAATAACTAATTACTTTTAATAATAATTATAATAATGACTATGAAGTCAGTATTACTATCAAAATAAACTACATACTAATTTTAAGGACTTTGAACTTGTCGTGTCTTGACTTTGACGTTGTTAATTTATAAGCCCTTGTGACGTATAAAGACAATAACATCTGAGAGTAACGCCATTGCTCCGCCATATTGAATATAAAATTTCTTGCAAAATATGTGACTTATCTTTTAAAAAAACTTGTTCTTACTAATACAAGCTGTAATCGGGGTGCTTTAGGTCAGTATTTTTTTCCAGTTATTCTTAATTTAATTGAATTTTCCATTAAGGCCTTATTCAAGCGATGTTTGTAAAAGTTCGCTTCAAAAAGTAAGTTAATGAAAAGCAAACTGAGTATTTTTAAAGTACTTTTAGTGAGTAATTGTGTTCTAAATAAGTCGCTAGATAAAAACTGTGAAATGAAAACGTCTGAAAGTTTCAACAATAACGAGAAACTCGGAATGACTAATGTATTCGATTCGAAAACAGGGTATTTAAAATTCATGAACAATCATAAGTTGTTCGCGAATCAAAAGATATTAGCATAGACACAGAATATTACAGACAGTCACTGTTTGATAAATGTCGTGTCCTGATTTTGGAATACGGTACGGTTTGTCAAAGTATTTCTGTTAGTAAAAATTAGCATTTCACGAAATATCGACCTTTCACCGACCAGATATCTCTTTAAAGACATTCTGGAAATTAATCGCAAGCTCCAAGTGATTCATTGGCATGAGCGGCGGAGATAGCGTTGTTTCAGAGGCTTACTTCGGTAGTAAAATTTCAGGTTAAAAACATATTATGTGTAAACTATTTAAAAACAATACTATTTAACTGATCTTTCGTTTAAACGCTACCCTACCAACTCATTACAATAAGCTGTAGTTTCTGATTCCGTAGACAGAAGTAATGACCGCTTTACAAAACCCTCTTGAATGGAAAATCTTCGAATATAATTAAGTGTAGCGAATTGTGAGTTTCATCTCAAGTTTGGTTCTTATTTAAATAGCAATTCTACAGAATCTGCCGCGTTGCGAATATTAACTAAGGCGTTTTAATCAAACTGCAGCGAATGGCATTCTGATCGCATTTTGAAGAACGTTTAGCTTAATGTTAAATGGTATTTATAATATTTCGTTTTTGTCCAGTATTTTACTATTACTCTCATCCTGTTGATTTATCTCTGGGTATTATTTTACAAAAAATATAACCCGTTACAGTAATTTACTTTATGGGTGATAGATAATAGAATATGAGTTTATTGGCCTTCATTCACAGATAGGGGCGCGTTCTTGAATAGCCTGTACGTGGGTTTATTTATTTACACTTCGTTACATTTAAAGAAAAACAAATAACATAATACATAAAAATTATAAGGTATGCAATGGGCGGCCTTATCGCTAACAAGCGACCTCTTCCAAGCAATACTAGTAAGGATAAAAACTAAGAAAAGAAATATGATGGGTAAAGTGCAAGAATAGCATAACCAAATCTTATTAAAAAAAATTAGAATTACCAACCTTAATCTAAAATAATACAAACAAATTTTATAAAATTAACTAAAACCTAAAAAGGTAATCTCACTCATTCATGAATTGCGATGCAATACAAAAGTATAAGAAATATTTAAAAAGTCACGATTTTAAGCATGGCACGCGTTCAAAACATATATGTGATATAAATTAATAAATTATTTTGATTATGACTTAATTGAAACGTTAATCATGACATGATTAACGTTTAAATTCACATTATCATCATTTGGGCCGGTTACATTGTCATCATAATAAAGTATGATTACAATCGTCAATAAGAGTTACTGGACTTGAAATATTATGAATAATAATTCTTAAGCAGAAGTAAAAATGAAACCCTTTGCATGAGCGAGCCCTCTGGGGAAATCTTAGATTGTCTGTAAATCCACCGCGGACTCAAAAGCTGGAAAATAAATTTATGAAAGCATAACCGATGATAAACTATTATCCCTTTTTCACTCGCTTATGAGATTTTGTTTTGAGAAATATGGATTCTTGAATCTCTTTTGGGATTACGCGTAAGTTTTCAAAACATAAAGCAATTGTTTACGATATTTATTTTGTCTGCTTCGTATAATAAGAGGTCGAATCGTTTGATGATGTACCGCTTATTGCGAGGGCGCAATTATCACTAGAATTGTTAACGGTTAGCGAACATAAATATAATGAACATATTTTTTGTCTTTTCATTAGGGTATGTGTAACAGAAAAATGTTTCTAGCAGAAAGAATGTTCCAGAATATATGGAACATTTATAGGTTGGTCAAATAAAATACGTTTACTATATTTGTAAAATCAAAAGCTGTACTTTAATCAAAGTGACAACTGTCAAAATCGTTGGAATCGATGACTTGAAATAGCGCCGAAAAGCGTCGGCACTCTGCTACTATTATTAGTATTTCAATATTATTTATGTCGATTACCTGATGAGAAAAGCGTTCTTAATAAAAATTATAGGACATGGTAATATTATAAGATTTAGAATGCAAAACAAAATATTTAACAATGTCGTTTTATTTAATAATGATTTGCCTTTAATTCAATCGACATAATTATTTCCATTTGACTAATCATAATCGAAGGAAACGCGATTATCGATATATAAATGCAACCTTTCCGGGCGTAAAAAGTAAGTCTACTATCCAACAACTATACTTTTGTATACAGTTACTAAAATTAAATATAATTACATTAAATTGATGATGAAATTACATGATTTAATAACATTAAATCACCAGGATCATAAGCTTACATTCCTAATATTTACTGTCAAGTCAGAGCTTTCCTATGTAAGTTATCACTTAATATTTAGTCGGATAATTTAAATTAGCAAACCTGCTACTGGAACAGTACAATATTCAAAGGTATTATGACTAAATAAGAATACTGTAAGTAGCTTAAGCAATTTGTAAGTAAGTGAAATGTATTCGCGCCTCGGGTACCTTATACTCCCTGCAACCCTGGGGTATACAACGAGTTGGCGAATGTGCTTTTAATAACACCGTATGGTTATGACCTGCACGGTGCTTAAGTATGTAAATTACTTAATAATGTATTATCTGAATAAATTCTACACAAGTCGTTATATTAAATTTGTCTAAGGTATTTTATGTATTCTTAAAGCAGTTTTTGCCGCGCACCACTACTATGTGGAACCAGCTGCCCACTGAAGTATTTTTGAACCCATTCACCAAAAGGGTGTACCAATTCTTAAAAGGCCGGCAACGCACTTGCGAACCTTCTGGCAATGAAAGGGTGGCGGTATCACATAACATCAGATGAGCCTTCTGCCCCCTGATATAAAGAAAATAAAAAAAAATCTAAATAAGGACACGCATAAAAAACATAATCTTTTCTCAGTACATTTATAAGGTTAGTTACCTTATGGTCGTCAAGTATCCACGTGATGTTGGGAGCAGGATATGCTTCATCAACGGTGCAGTTGGCACGAATGATGTCACCTCGGGAGTAGCTTCTTTGTGCAACTGTAATCCGAGGCGCCCGGAACGGCGGATCTGGTAGTAAAAACCAATAAATAAATGAAATGAATATCCTCATATCATATTGCTACGAAGAGAAAACGTAAATTCGTTTTTTCAGCCTATTTTAAAAAAGGTTTAAAATTAGTCACATAACCCAGCCTTCAACGTCGCACGGGCCGAGTTGTTTCATAAATCACGGTTCGTTGCCGGCTTTTTAAAACCAAACAATTTATATAGTTAGTTTAGTTTTTCTATAGTTATTTAAACTAGATATGTATATATTAAATCAAAGTCCTATGGTACAATTCCATTTTGCAAAATCAATCATTTGCAAGGTGATTGCCGATTTAATAAGTAATCTGTGATTAGCAAAGTTCCAACCCAAAATTACAACTCGACTAAGCGTCCAAAACACACAGCCTATTTAAACAAGGCCAAATTAGGGCAAACAGACTGTTTGCATCCTGCAACTGAGTTTAGTGCGCGTGCGGCACTAAAGTTTTCATATCAAGTAATAACAGTTTCCGTGACGTAATGCTGACTCAGCACTTTCTCATCGACCGTTTTCAATGCTGAAATTCTTGACTCTATTGGAAAATTATACAGGCATTATGTTAGACAGGCTGTATGTAATTGTGTTGACAATTGTGTTGATGAATATGAGACATCAATTAATACGACATCTATTTATAAGTAAAAGTTTACATGTTTTTTAATTAGCTAATAATTAGTTAACATTTGTAAAAAGAATTACTCAAATACTTTTGAAAACGGCAAATTAAAAAAAATATATCATATTGATGTTGTTGTACCTAATAACGTAAAGAGTATTTCATAAAGTACCCACGAACTTTACAATGCACAGATAATAAATAAAATAAAACAGAGCCTTTATTTACAATCCATTTTAAATAATAATAAATCAGTGGCGCTACTTATTTATGTCTGGGCCTAAGATTTCTGTATCTGTTTCATCGTCATTTGTCAATCTAATTGGCTGGTAGGTGTTCGGCCACCTGTGCTGAACACACGCCGTCGACTTTTTGGGTCTAAGGCAAGCCGGTTTCCTCACGATGTTTTCCTTCACAGTTCGAGCGAATGTATGTTAAATGCGCACATAGAAAGTAAATCTCTATGGACTTTATCTCTATCTATATGCACCTATGTGCACAGTTGGGAATTGAACCTCCGATCTCAGGGATGAGAGTCGTACGCTCAAGCTACGAGGCCAACACTGCTCACAATCCAATTTACGTTTAAAAAATAAATAAATATAGAAGTGTAACCCCAGACACCAACCGTTAGATTGTCTTGTTGTCTCCCTATGGCATTGACTATGGAATACCATTAAAGTAACACAATATCTTAATACATAATATCCTTAAAACTAAAACATATTCTCAGTTTGGATAAAGCTTGTCTTTATTGAACCAATCGATTATTAAATGAAAGTTAACAGATTCCAAATGAAAATCTTTAAAATACAGCTTTTTAAAACCCTGATATATCACGTAATTTATCTCAGCCAACAAAAAAAAAATCCGTTCAGAACAAAGCACTACCGTTGAATAACCATTCAGTCTGAGTTTGAAGTATTGCAAGCGTTTACTAAATTCTGTGGTTAACTGAATTATGAATGCCATGAATTACTACATTGGTTCAATAAGCCAATATGGTTTTATAATGCTCAAATTACAGACAAATAACCATTATATATACACTAATATAAAATCTCTGTAATAATATACGGGTAGCATTTTGTTACCAATTAACTTGAAATACTTATAAAATGAATTGCGAAAATAAAAGCATTATCGAGTATTCGAAATCATTTAAAAAAGGAAAGGGGGGGGGGGGGGGGGGGGGGGGGGGGGGGGGGGGGGGGGGGGGGGGGGGGGGGGGGGGGGGGGGGGGGGGGGGGGGGGGGGGGGGGGGGGGGGGGGGGGGGGGGGGGGGGGGGGGGGGGGGGGGGGGGGGGGGGGGGGGGGGGGGGGGGGGGGGGGGGGGGGGGGGGGGGGGGGAAAAGGGGGGGGGGGGGGGGGGGGGGGGGGGGGGGGGGGGGGGGGGGGGGGGGGGAGGGGGGGGGGGAAGGGGGGGGGGGGGGGGGGGGGGGGGGGGGGGGGGGGGGGGGGGGGGGGGGGGGGGGGGAAAAAAAAAAAAAAAAAAAAAAAAAGAAAAAGGGGGGGGGGGGGGGGGGGGGGGGGGGGGGGGGGGGGGGGGGGGGGGGGGGGAGAGGAGGGAAAGGGAAAAAAAAAAAAAAAAAAAAAAAAAAAAAAAAAAAAAAAAAAAAAGGGGGGGGGGGGGGGGGGGGGGGGGGGGGGGGGGGGGGGGGGGGGGGGGGGGGGGGGGGGGGGGGGGGGGGGGGGGGGGGGGGGGGGGGGGGGGGGAGGGGGGGGAGGGGGGAAGGAAAAAAAAAAAAAAAAAAAAAAAAAAAAAAAAAAAAAAAAAAAAAAAAAAAAAAAAAAAAAAAAGGAAAAAAGGGGGGGGGGGGGGGGGGGGGGGGGGGGGGGGGGGGGGGGGGGGGGGGGGGGGGGGGGGGGGGGGGGGGGGGGAAAGGGGGGGGGGGGGGGGGGGGGGGAAAAAGAAAAAAAAAAGGGGAAAAAAGGGGGAAAAAGAAAAGAGAAAAAAAAAAGAGGGGGGGGAAAAAAAAAGAAGGGGAAGAAAGGGGGGGGGGGGGGGGGGGGGGGGGGGGGAGGGGAGGGGAAGAAAAAAAAGGGGGGGGGAGAAAAAAAAAAGGGGGAGGGGGGGGGGGAAGGGGGGGGGGGGGGGAAAAGGAAGGGGAAAAAAAAAAAAAAAAAAAAAAAAAAAAAAAAGAAAAGGAAAAGGGGAGGAAGGGGGGGGGGGGGGGGGGGGGGGGGGGGGGGGGGGGGGGGGGGGGGGGGGGGGGGGGGGGGGGGGGGGGGGGGGGGGGGGGGGGGGGGGGGGGGGGGGGGGGGGGGGGGGGGGGGGGGGGGGGGGGGGGGGGGGGGGGGGGGGGGGGGGGGGGGGGGGGAGGGGGGGGGGGGGGGGGGGGGGGGGGGGGGGAGGGGGGGGGGGGGGGGGGGGGGAAAAAAAAGGGGGGGGGGGGGGGGGGGGGGGGGGGGGGGGGGGGGGGGGGGGGGGGGGGGGGGGGGGGGGGGGGGGGGGGGGGGGGGGGGGGGGGGGGGGGGGGGGGGGGGGGGGGGGGGGGGGGGGGGGGGGGGGGAGAAAGGGGGGGGGGGGGGGGGGGGGGGGGGGGGGGGGGGGAAAAAAAGGAAAGGAAAAGGGGGGGGGGAAAAAAAGGGGGGGGGGGAAAAAGGGGGGAAGGAAAAAAAAGGGGGGAAAAAAAAAGGGGGGGGGGGGGGGGGGGGGGGGGGGGGGGGGGGGGGGGGGGGGGGGGGGGGGGGGGGGGGGGGGGGGGGGGGGGGGGGGGGGGGGGGGGGGGGGGGGGGGGGGGGGGGGGGGGGGGGGGGGGGGGGGGGGGGGGGGGGGGGGGGGGGGAAGGGGGGGGGAAGGGGGGGGGGGGGGGGGGGGGGGGGGGGGGGGGAAAAAAAAAAAAAAAAAAAAAAAAAAAAAAAAAAAAAAGGGGGGGGGGGGGGGGGGGGGGGGGGGGGGGGGGGGGGGGGGGGGGGGGGGGGGGGGAAAGAGGAGAGGGGAAGAAGAAAGAGGAATTTGGAAAAAAAGAAATGGTAATAAGAAAAAAGGGGGGGGGGGGGGGGGAAAAAAGGGGGGGGGGGGAGGAAAAAAGGGAGGGGGGAAAAAAGGGGGGGGGGGGGGGGGGGGGGGGGGGGGGGGGGGCCCAACCCCCTGGGGGGGGGGGGGCCCGGGGGGGGATTGGGGGGGGGGGGGGGGGGGGGTGGGGGGGGGAAGGGGAAAAAATAAATATTTTTCCCCCCCCCGAGGGGGGCCCGGGGGGGGGGGGGGGGGGGGGGGGTAGAAAGAAGAAAAAAATTAAAAAAAAAAAAATGTATTTAAATGGTTGTGTTCCTGGTTTAAAATTTTGGGGAAAAAAGAAAAGGAGGAAAAAAAGAAGGATAAAAAGGGTTGGGGAAGGGTTGGGGGTGGGTGGGGAGGGGGAAGGGGGGGGGGGGAGAGGGGGGGGGGGGGGGGGTTTTTTGGGTTTTTGGGGGGGGGGAAGGGGGGGACCCGGGGGGAGTGGGGGCCCGAGGGGTAATAATTGGTGGGGGGGGGGGGGGGGGGGGGGGGGTTTGGGGGGTGGTTTAAAAAAAAAAAAAAAACAAAAAAAAAATGGAGAAAAGGGGGGGAGGGGGGGGGAAGGGGGGGGGGGAAGGAGGGGGGAAGGGGAGGAGGGGTTTGGGGGGGGGATGGTGGGGTTTTTGGTTTTTTGGTGAAAATATTTTTATTTTTTTTTTGATTTTTCTTAATTTTCCTTATTTCCCCCCAGGGGGGGGGGGGGGGGGGGGGGGGCGGGTTGGGGGGGGGGGTTTGGGGGGTTTTGCTGGGGGGGGGGGGGGGAGTTAAAAAAAAAAAAAAAATAAGGAAATTTTGAGGGGGGGGGGGGGGGGGGGGGGGAGGGGGGGGGGAAAAAAAAAAAAAAAAAATGTGGGGGAAAAAAAAAGATTTATAGTTTTTAGTAAAGAGGGGGGGATGCTATCTACCCAATAGATTATGTTATATGAAAAACTTATTAAACGAAAAATACGTTTATTTAATAATATATATAGGTTATATATATAGGTTCTTCGTTAATCCCTTTTGTGAGTTACAGTACCTACACCTACGTTTCTACTACCACATATTTAATTTCTTCTTCGTAGTCTTTAGTAATGATGACTTATTTTTGACCTAACTGGAGTTTGAATGCGTAAGTAATGGCAGGCAACACTTATCACATGTGAGGATTTTTCAAATATCGTAATCTTTATTCAAATGTTCTAACTGATGATTTTCTGTTACGAAAATTAACATCTGTTCTAGACGAGGATAGTGAAACATCCTAGGGTTTTATAATCATAAATTATTGTAAATGTGTAATAGTATAATGTTGTAATATATATTTACCATGAAGTCAGTGTTTTAAAAAAGCCTCTCACCTCCAGAGCCCAGTTCCCTCGAATTGGAACCGTCCAACACTAACTATTATAATATTATAACGATACATCGATTTGCATCCACATGTCTTGGATCAGATCAATATGGTTTTGAGACCCATAATTGTCTTTATTTGGCCAGACTGGGTTCAAACTTTAACTTCTCCTGCCATCATCCTTCCTACCATTAGTAGTTTGTTATGATCCTAACCCGTTCTCACCTGGCAATATGGCGAAAAAAGACAAGCACCGGTTTTAAGCACAAATTACTGTGTAGTTGGTTAAGAATGTACTTATTTATTTTGAGGCAAGAAAAACAGTACAATTAAAATAATTAAATAAAAAGGAGGGTAACTGGCGGTCTGGTCACTTTCGAGCGGTATTTTTCAGGCAACCACTGTAAGGAAAAAAAAATAAGGCGAGAGCAAGAAGTGCAAAACATAATACATACAATTACTCAAATAATAGAACAAAATAAAGCATTTAATTAATTTTGATATAAATACGTACCAACAACAGTTAATGGTGCAGATCGTATGTCAGTATGAAAGAGTGGTGCGTCAGCGGACACCTCGCACTGATAGTCACCACTTAGTCGCCGGTTCAGGTTCACGATTCGGACTTGTTGGTGATCAGACTGAGCTAGCTGCAGAAAAATATATCCGCTGTAATTTTCAGTAAAATAATTTCTTCTACATTACTAAAAAGAAGCTAACAATTTTTAACACATATTTTAGAGGTACTTTAGCAAAGTACTACTTTAAAGATAAACAAATGTTGGTTGCGCTATTTCGAATTATCATGATGTGAACCTACATAGATATATTGAGACAGACACATCTTTACTATAGGTACACGTCCTTTTTAAGGTTGATAATAACGTGGCGCTATAATTCTACATGGTTCTACTAAATCATTGTTCACTTTTCTTCGAGGCCAGTAGTCAATAGGCGTTCTTTGTTACACACGTTGTCAAGGTGTCGTCATGAGTGTTAATTGTGAAGAGCCGGGATCTGAACCCACGACCTCAGGGTTGATAAACAGCACGCAATCTTTAAGTGTCACTAAATTAAATCTAATAAAAAAAACATTGTACTGTGGGTAACTTAATATACACTTATGAACGTCAGAAACAATCTGTGCTTCTAAATTTACATTTACTGCTAGTTCACAAATCAAGGACGTGAACGGATGAATAGAACTGCCAATAAAGTCTGTGTCACTCTTTTAAATCGCCAAGGATTTACAATTTGTTTGTAAGCACCTGTAACCATTATATCATACTAACATACTAGAGAGAGGTAACAAAAAATCTCTATGTATATAAAATTCTCGTGTCACAATGTTCGTTCCCATACTCCTCCGAAACGGCTCGACCGATTCTTATTAATTTTTATTTTTAGACAAATATTTTTGTTTAAATTTTTTATGATACAGCATACATAACCCTAATTTTTACCATTGAACGATCAACCCTTACTTCTTATTATTATAGATAGTTATTTTTATTGAACTAAAAAAAAATTTTAGGCGTTAAAAAAGAGTTAGGCGTTTTATATATAGAAACTAGCTTAGCTGTTAAGGATATTATACATTTTAAATTTGAAAAAGTTCTTTAATATTGCTGAAAACTATTTCGCTCAAGCAGGTACGAAAACTTACATCAACCGACGCCCCGGGCAGTGGGAAGATCATATACGGTGGCATCTCCCTCGGGACGTATCTGTAGAACTCTATCTCCGCCCGGTACCACCGTATGGAGTAAAGGGCAGCACCTTCCAGGTCATAAGAGCATTGTAGGACCGCCGACTGACCCTCGCCAGACAGGACTGCACGAGGGACCGAAATTGACAAGTTTCTTAAGGACCACACGCCACCTGCAATGACGATAAGATGGTATGAGTAATGAAAATCTGCGAATTGAGTTTTATCTAGAGATACAAGAGTACATTACAAAAAATATCTGTCTCAGAAATTTGTTAATAATTAATTGGCCCCAAACAATGAATATGTCATCTGCCAACAAACAAAGTTCGATAGAGTTATTTCAGTCTCCGTAGTGCTAAAGTCGGATATTTTGAATATCGTGGTAAGACCGCTTAATTTCGCTGATCGCTGTGAAAGTTGTACTAATACTGTTTGTTTATTATTTAGTTTAGTACGTAAATTACTTAAATGTGAAAATTCTTAGTATTTATTACTAATATATCGCATTAGTGTCATAGTAAATATTTAATTTACATTAAAGCTTTATTTTCAACACGGCACTCTCAATTATTATTTCTATATTTAGCTTAATTAAGCTATTATAAGCGTATTTTCAGCAAAAAAATAGATATATGATTTCTATTTGATGTATAATTATTAGTTAAATTCATTTTAGAGACAAAGCTATCAGTATACAAGCGTAAGTTTCCCTTATTAAAAAATTTCCCCTTTTTAGAAATTTTAAAAGCAATTTTAACAAAATGTTACCTGCATTATTTATTATACAAAACTCAAAGAGTGAACACAGGTGCGGTACGATTAGTTGCCCTGCGGCCGCCTGTCTTGCGTCGCGGTGACGCGGGTCGACGCGACTAATATCTCGGATTTGTTACATTTTATTTGTCACAGTCATTGTTCAGTAAACTAGAGCCTTATATAATTTAGTGTTACCCATATTAACACTGGTGTAACATTTACTTCACGGTTTAAATTTTACGGTGATTGTGTTAAGAAAAATTCTTTGCTTAGTACATGAAACGGAAATGGCTGTGTGTTTCCCTTGTATTTCCTGCAGATGAACATATAATAGACAAAATATATATTAATATAAAATATATCTTTATAATTTTTACCATAGGCAATTGATTGCGATTTTTAGCTCAAGTCACAATCTATAAATACGAGTATGTTCAGGCAAAGTTAATAGAGAATAATTGACAGCCCTTACAAACAACCTAGATTTGAGTTTGAATTAAGGGCCCGGGTGTAAAAAAAGGTATAAAGGTACGATTTACTTTTCAACATTAATGCTAATGATTTTATATTTGTAAGCGTATCCAATATATTTGATAATTATATGTGGACAAAACGCAATATAACAATGGCTACATACTAATTAGTTGATTATTATTAGCACATTCTATTATGTTGTCACACGCAATATGTTCCAAGGAATTTGAGATGATCCTCATAATACACAAAGGAATACAGCTGATTATGTTAATACTGAAATTTAATAGAAATATTAAACAAAAAAAATTAATGGCGCTACAAACTCGAGGTCCGGGCCTCAGATTTCTGTATCTGTTTTATGATCATTTGGTAATCTTATAGGAAAGTAGGTGATCAGCCTTCTGTGCCTGACGCACGCCGTTGACTGTTTGGGTCTAAGGCAAGCCGGTTTCCTCACGATGTTTTCCTTCACCGTTCGAGCGAATGTTAAATGCGCACATAGAAAGAAAGTCCATTGGTGCACAGCCGAGGATCGAACCTACGACCTCAGGGATGAGAGTCACACGCAGAAGCCACTAGGCCGACACTGCTCAAAATAGAAATATTAAACACATTACAAAAAAAACATTTATAGTAGTAATAGACAGTAGTTTAATTCAATAACACTAGATTAATAATATTGTATAATTTGATTATTTAAATAAAGCATTTTAAAATTTAATTTAATATTTTTAATATCTGTAAAGGCTTTTCTACATTCCAAGTACTTACAAAAATGCATCTTTATATAAGGAAGTAGTTTATCAGACAGATCAAATTTAATACAAGACCTGTCAGTTATGTCCCAGGCCGCTGAAATATTGTTTCCGGCAGAGCGTAGCATTAAGATTTCTCTACGAAAGCCTTTTTTCGTTGCCGTTTCCGGGATTATATACCCAAGGGACTGTTGTCTTGTAAACTTTCATAATATTTGCCAGACAAGACTTTTTTAAGCCTACATTATTGTGCAGTTTTAATAATAGCAGGAAAAACATCCGTTGGGAATTTCACTGCGGATATTTCATAGCAGGTTGTATATATAATCATAGTATTGATTCATAGAACTGCCGTGCGATTCTGTAACTTACTTTTCGAACTCACACAGCGGTTTTCGCAGCGCCGGTCGCGCTCAAATTAGTCGTGAAGCAGTCGCCAGTCATTTTATGATTTGGCATTCTGATAAGGATAGGGATAAGGTTTGTAGTTTATTGTTTATCAGAATACCGCGTTGTTTGAGCGCGACCGCCGCTGTGAAAACCGCTGTGTGAGTTCGAATGTGTGTGAGTTACAGAAACGCAAGGCTGAAGCATAGTTATGTGTGATGTGGGTTTATGAAGGATTCCAACTCTACAGAAAAGTCTTCATAGTACACTTGTAGAAAACTCATTACTACGCACACGTGTGGATAGAGAGACAATCAAGCCGATCAGTAATAGGTACATTTTAGATTGACAATCGACAAGCCCGTCACTAAATTTAGGGTAAGAGGGTTGCCTGGAAGAAATCGCTTGTTAGCGATAAGGCCGCCCCTTGCCTAATAACTCATGTAACCTACTTACTTTTTGTTTTTTTTTTCTATATGTATAATTATGGCAATGAAGTATAAATAAATAAATATAAATAAAAATTTATTCAAATGGAAGAAGCTGGTACTTGGGAGTACCGGCTCAGAGATTTGAGCAGTATTCCATATGAGGTGGAACTTCAGCCTTGTAGAGGTGACTAACTAAAGCAAGTACGACATTTTTAGTCACTTTGAAGCACCCCGCATGTGTCAAACCCAATCACCTAAGAAAACACTTTGAGCCACACGAACTATAATTACATTCGGATCCAGCACGATTTAGTCACAAAGGATTTAATATCGGCTTCGGCCACAAGGGACGTGTCGCACCGACACTTAGCAAATTATGCACGCCTTCTCACCGCATACACCAATATCTCCACTTGCAATCCATAACACACCCTATCTCATAGGACTAGAGACAGTAATTCTGTGAAAGATTATCAAAGGCCTGTAGATGACAGTACACGACCTGTTATTATAATACTGTGTCAGATTCGTTTGTTAACGAGAGCTTGGTAAAGCTTCGGTATTTCACTCATTTGGACGTGAATAGGTGAGTTTTAGGATATTATGTTCCTAAAACGACTTCACCTTAAACCCTACAGTAAAACGATCATAGTAACGTCAAGTACGTAGTCATACTAATATAGTAATGTTAAATGCGTATTATTATCGTTTAATTATCATTTCACATTACCAGAACGGTTTCTTTATTTGAATTATTATACAGTTTCATTTTTCAACTCGATTCTAACGCCAAATACTGAATATTGAAGTATTTTAAATGAATCTATATATTTGTGTAAAGAAATAATTAGATGATAAGAAATAATTTAATAATTATATGTTCACTATTTCAGTAATCAAATATATGTTTTTATATACCTTTCCTTCTTTATATATCATTGTAGTGTTTGTTGTCTGATTGAGTAAAAAATGATTATTAATTATATACACATATATAATGCAGTGAAGTATGTATGTTAAGTGTTGAAAATTAACATCAATTACATTGAAATATGAGAATATTGTAACAAATATTTATCAATGTATTAACTATGCTTTCATAACGTATTTAAAAAAATACAGAAGCATTTTTAATATTTTCAGTCTCCTTCAAATGAAGCATTCACCTCTGTAAATTATATTCAATATAACGTTTCTTAAACTCGAATAGCATAATGATCCACATGAAACCATTAGCTCTCATATCACTCCGCATAAAAACGAAATCGTTCATAATGCCTCGATATAAAATGAGTGAAATCGATGTCATTTGGTTTGGATACGTGCGCCAAATTGCCCGGAATCGAGTCCCACTCGACGCGCCCTACTTACAACTCTGGCCATTGTGACACAAATGTAACATCTTACGTTGATGATATTCTATACTGGGGTACGCACAGGTTCTCAAGATAGCAAGTGTTTTATTAGGTTAAGAGACCTCTATTGGGAACTTTAAAATTTAATTAATACACTTCTTGACATTTAATTACCAAGCCAAAACAATTATTGTTTCGCCAGTAGGAACTCTCTTTATATAAGAGAGATAGTAAGTAGTAGTTTGTAATAACAAAGGTCAGTAGAATCAGATCAAACAGGAAGCTCAAACTGACATATTGCAGATAATAAAAGACCAACGTGCAGATTAGTAAGAATATTAAAGTAATAGCATGGTAAGTGATTCGTGAAAGATTAGCGAAATCACTGCGAGCAGGTGAATGGGCAATAAACCCAAGTATTTTCCGATAAGTTCCGCGCATCACGACACTGACTCAGCAATCTACTCATGTCTAGATGATGCTAGTTAGTTCTGATGTTTCTTGCAAATAGCATTCTAATAGGGTTACTACCTTTAAATTGCTATTAATTTAAATTAATTTATTATTCAATATTCCATATTTTTAGCAATTTATACCAAATACATTAATAAATAATCGGCCCTTACTTCTTATAAAATAAAAAGGAAGCATTTGTGTTTTTGTATGTATGTTTAAATGTTTTGACACAAAAGCTACTGGAACGATTTCAAAAATTCTTTCTCCATTAGAAAGCTACATCTACACTGACTGACATAGAATTTGTCATTAGAAAATTGCATTAAAATGCAATAATATAACCCAAGGTGAGCAAAAATTATTTAACAATTTATAGTAATCAAGCAAAACCTGGACTGATTAAAAAAAAATTTTTCAAAGAAAAATCTTTTTAACCGGATTAAAGCTATGTATTATTATAAATGTGTAAAGGTTATGTTAATCAAGGACAAAAAAATTTTCATTAGCTACTTTGAATCACGAATATTTAAATACCTGTAGAGTATTTTTAAATTTACTAATGGATATTCTACGTAAATGATGTTATGAATTTAAATATAATAATTCGACTTAGTAGACTTTCCACAACCACGAGATCAGTATCTACGCGAGTGAAACCGATGGGCATTGCTAATTTAAAATATAAATAACTAGTTACTTATTTGAGTCTAGTCTGCTTATTTCTGAAAAGCACTTAAACAGTCGTGATATGTAAATAGTATAATACTTTTTTAAAGAAGTTTTATTTAAATGTGTAGAACTAGGGTAGACTAAAAACAATATGAAAAGTCCTCATAGTTAGACTTTATAAATAACGGATCTATAAAATCTATTCTATCGAGCAACTAAACAATATTATTTATAAAAAGCTAACTTCATAATAATTCTAAACGTTTTTCATTTTCTTCCCTATTAGTATGGAATATTTAGCAAAATGGCAACCCTAATTGTATAAGTGTGCGTGAGTGGTTCCCATCAGATTAACGAGCAGGGGCAATAAGGGAATGCGTTCATAATGTCCACCAATATGTTTGCTATTCTCGAGCAACGCCGAGTTTTTGTTACAATTTACCTGCTTTAGTATGAGTGATAGATAAACAAGAAACTTAGAGAGCTTTCGCTATATGAAAGTTTTCTGAAGTTATGTCATTAGAAAATACAATTTCGTTTTCATTATATAATAATAAAAATGTATCAGAATAAATAAGGCAATCGGTTTAGGTAAAAATGTTTCAAGAATTTTCTGACCCAAAAATCTCACTAGATTCTCGCGTAGCCCGTTTTATGAAACGTCTACGG